AACAGTGTGGCCTCCTGATCAATTTATATCTAGATGACTCTGCACCACTGAAACAGTAATAGCCCTGACAGCCAATACCAAAATTGGAGTGGGCAGTTTGCAGTCCCAAACCCCGGACTTGGACCGCACACAGAAGCTAACGGTGTTTACAAACATAAATGGAGATAAGATACTGCGGCAGCCAATTAGACTCAGAACAACTTATTCATTTGTGGATTAAAGCAGAAGTAAATCAATGCTGAGTTGCACAAAAACAGAATCTTCTGTCACTTAAAAGCATTCCCCCAACTCAAATACCCTAGAATTTGAGTCCAACTAGCCTTCCTTGTGATCATAAAATAATAATCATCCTTGCATTTGATATTGTGCCTTTTTAAGTCTTCAAGACGTCTCAAAGTGCTTCACAAGATATGCTGCAACGTGAATTGACTGTATATTTTGTGGGTGAAACGCGGCAGCCAATTAGCCAATTGCACACAGCAGTGTTCCCACAAACAGTCGTGGGTTGAAGTGACCAACTTATTATTGTTTTTTTTTCTTGAGGGATTGTTATCAGGCTCGTGGAGTAAGGAAACTTGCCCAAGGTTTCGCCCCCTGCCGGGAATCGAATCCAGGTCTCTCGCATGCGAGGCGAGTGCTCTAACCACTGAGCTACAGGAGTCCAGGCTATACATGCAGTCTGTCTCCTTTGCAACATGTTTATCTGCAGGTCCGTTGATAGTTTATTAGTTCTTTTTATACACATGCTGTTGCCATAGCACAACCTCATACCACAGGCATCTGTAGTCTGCCAGGGCAATTTGATTTGGTTACTGCACAGTGGGCCACTGGACTGGTATCTTCCTTAGTTTGTGTCCCTGTGAGACAAGGGGATGAGCTGCTAAGAAATGAACAGCAATGCTTCTTTTCAGCCATTATGTTTAAAAGGGACTTTGGTTTGAGTGGTGAACACAACAGTTAAATTCTTCATCTAAGGTCCCTTCCACGCCAGCATCTTCATATCTCACTAGGTCCCTCTGTGTTTCCCTCCCACCACCCCCCCAAATTTCTCCCAGTTTATTAAACGCAGACAGATTAAATTTCATGAGCGATAAATATCCATGCTCTTTGCAGATTTGAACCATGTGGTCAGGTGCGGCAGCAAGTCTGAAAGCTTGACTGTTAAGTTAAACAACCACTAGCCTGGAATTCCTCACCAACTTAGTCCCGAATAAGACAATTCTCTTATCATTTTAGATCGTGTAAAATTTTTGGTAAATTCTTCAATTCAATCTAAAGTTTTGAAGCCAGTTCTTGCCCCCCAAAAAAAACGATTCTGGGTCACAGGTGCCTGAACCATCATTTGAAACGTCGAGCTACTCTCAGGTCCACTTATTAGAGAGCGGATAAGAATGTAGATGGAGTGACCGACCTACAGAAAATAATAATAATAATAATAATAATAATAATAATAATAATCCTTGCATTTGATATAGCGCTTTTCACGTCGGGAGGATGTCCCAAAGCGCTTCACAGAACGCACTGTAAAGTGAATTGACTGTATATTTGTGGGCGAACGCGGCAGCCAATACAGATACAGGGCACCCGTGTTAAAATGACCTCTGCGACTTCCAGAAGATGCTAAACCGATTGCCATTTCCTGCTCAACATCCTTGTGAAGCAAACATCTAAAAAAAAACAAAATGTGATCGTCCTTCAAAGCCTTTTAAGTGAATGTGAATCGATTGGTTCCTTTTCTTTTTTTTAAAAAAAAGGTTTCTCTGTCTCTTGGATGGCATTCAGTTATTTTTGAGATATGGTTCTGAATGCACACCCTGCCCTTCAACATCGCTAAGTGGCAATCTTCATGTGGGAGTTCAAGTAGTGAAGGCCAGCAGGTTATTCAATCAGAAGTGAGTGAGTGTGTGAGTGTGTGTGTGAGTGTGTGTGGTGGGGAGGTAGTACGTCACAGCCAAATCTGAACCCATCCTGTAAATGGAACTAACCTCGACATGTTTGCACTTTCCAGCACAAGTAACCGAATAGTCATCTGGATTTGGGAACTCTTGGCCGATGTCCCTGCCTGGAATACTGCTGCTCCAGCTGCCATCAGCAAACTCCCCATGGATTGAAGATTGAACATGGATGGCACTTTCATTGTCAACCACCACGCTGGGCACAATCCTCGCCCACGGAGGCATCCAGAGAAGCCGGGAAATTCCAAGGGTAATAAATAAATAGGAAGCTCACAAATATCCACAAGACTTTCTACGAACAAGGCGAGTTCTGAATGTTTACAGCAGGCATCGCTACCTCTTTCCTTCCTGAATAATTAAGCCTGGCAAATCCAAAGAGCATCCGGTTGAGAAGTACACCATAGTCACTGACATTGTATCGTGACCTTCTGCAGCCCTCTTTAGACTACTGCAGCAATCCTGTATTTGTTGTAAGCTTGCAGCAGATTTACCATAAAATGAGCTGGTGCAAAAATTGCATGCAGCAATTTATCCGGTGTGAAAAATCTCCCCAGATGTTGAGGATTCTGGCGATTTCTAGGAGACTGGAGGAATCAACGCCAAGATGAAGACATCAGCCGTTTCTGCACTGATGCCACAGCGCTACAGTTATTTGGTTATTCATTTCCACCCTCCCCTCTTCTCTGAAAACATTTGATTCCCTTTTCTCTTCTGCAAATATAGTCCGACAATTGTCTTCCCAATATTTCACCCAAGTTGCCATTTTTAAATGATGAGCCTCAAGGAGTGACTGGTATCTGGCAAATAAACCCGAGCCTGATTCTACCTGTGAGGGGGTTTTGGGAGGGTGGATGGGGGGAAGGAGGAGAGAGTAGGTTTGGAACACAATCAGAAGCATAATGCTTTGCTGATTTAGCTCCTTCCTTATGGAGGGGCACTAAGGCTAATTGCAGGACCTTATTTTTGCCAAAGCTGAGATCAGTCAACTCAACGAAGACTAGAATTCAAATCCAGAACCTTTCCTCCAGCATTGCCGAGCAGTGTCTTTGCCCATTGCACTATGGATTGGTATTTTAATAGCAGTGAATGTATGAACGGCCAACAGCGCAGGTGCTGAGGGAGTGCCTACAGTTCGGAGTATTAGAATACCAACTAAATACAATCTTCTCTCTATTAATCCAATCCAAATCAATGTTTCAACTTCCCCAAGATGGGCTGGTGTAAACCGCGATGGACTAACTGAGTATTTGATGCTCTTGCATTTGAACAGATAGCCAGTGTGGCTTCCAATTCTTAAACAACTGTGGCTAAGATAATGGGAATAGCGACCAAAAGCTAATACAATAGCAAGACCAGTCATGGTGAAAATACATTTTACTCGTGTATAATGCCGCAGGGTAGTATTGGTGCTAGAATCAAGGGAAACGTAGAGCTCTGTGCCGAAGTCCTTACATACCTGCGCAGAGCTCTGCAGGACAGTGTCATGACTAATGGTAATGAAGAGTTTTTTTTAAAAAAAAGCATCTTCACTCAAAGGGAATCTGGCACCTTTTTAAACTTTAATTTTAAAAGGGTTGCCTCGCCAAAGTGGTGTAAATCTACCTCCTTGTGGTGGTCCTGATACTCCAAATTAAAGTTGGTTCAGTCTCACTGCGCACTGTGTGTGGCCGTGAAACCAAATCCTCCAGGACTTTTCTTCTGATTCACGAGTCATTTTTCCTCCCCCCCTCTCCCCCGCCCCCATTCGTGGTGGAAAAAAAAAATGCCTTAACGTTCAGGAATTCATCGATTGCCCTAATCTTTTCCGCTGCTCGTATTCTCTTCCACAGGGGCCCCTCTGGTCTGCGGCTATCCTGACCTCAGGAAAGAAGGGCAGTCAAGGTCACAGGTTTCTTCAATGCTGCACTGCAGCCAACAGGAGGCATGCTTGTTATGAGACAAGATGCATCGTGTGTGTGTGTGTGTGTGTGTTTTTTACACACACACACACACACGCACACACTGCCCTTGAAGTGAACACTCCACGAGGTAAAAGTGCTCCACCTGGCAGCCTGATCAAGAACTGGCAAAGCTCGTCCCAACTGTTGCTGGCACATCGGAGTGACGAGCAGAACTTGGGACTCGAGCCCACAATCTGTTTGGTCAGGCCAGCGCTGCAGTCGTTCGTTCGGCTACTCCGTGCTTTGTCTCGTAAAGCATATCAATACGGTCACTCCCCCCCCCACCCCCGACGTGTTAATTAGCTGCAGTGAAATTAAAAGGCCATCCAACCACATTGCGTTGCAAACCCCGGGCACGCGCGCGCTGCAAATCATCTTTGCCGCTATCGCAAGACAAGGCGCTGCATCAAACGGCAAAGGATTATTGCCATAACGCGCTCCTATCTGCGGACTGTGACTCCTGAGTAGCATTATAGGCCTTTCCCACATATTCGGCACCAAAACAAAACACTGCAAGGAGTACTACTGCCACTGTACACGGCAGATTCGCGTCAGGGCATTTCCTGCTAATGTGCCCTTTCGAAACAGAAGCACGCGCACGCAATGGCCAATTTGAAGAAGTAAATAAGAAAGGACAGGAGAGGGGCACCTTTCCTTTCCCGATTCCAACCCCAGCAGTCCTGTCAAGTAAAATAAATCGGTGGGGTGGGTGCGAAAAAGGCAAAGGAACTGGTAGGGATCCACAAGTCCAGGTGAATAAAAATTCACACTGTGCTCGTGCATGGAAATAACCCATGCGGAGTTGCCAGTTGCAGATATTTGTAAATTGCTTGCCTGCCGGCTGACTCCTGGTGGAACTTTTGTCGGAAACAATCAAATAATAGGACACAAACAAACGCACGAGCAGAAACAAAAAAAAGTACAATGTTTTGTTGCTTCATGACATGATGCAGTGCTCTGTCACTGGGGGGGGGGGGGGTCCCATACGGTACCTAATGTTCGTTGCTATTGTTACATCTTTTCAATCAAGCAATCCATCCATTAATCAATCAATCAATCAAATCAATCAATCAATCAATCAATACATTTTTTAAAAAAAACTTACCTTTTAAAACTAGTGGATCCTTCCCTTCTCGTTTCAAGGACTCCAACACTATGTGAAGCGGCTGAGAGGGCACCACCCGGTTAGGTTCGTCTGTGTTCTCGTCGTAAACTATGATTTCCTTGGAGAAAATCCTTTTGAAGGAGTCCTTGCCTTCCCTGCAGGAGATGAGGTCCAAGACGGTGATCTTGCCCTGCTGCAGCCTCCTCCTGCTGATCTTGTCCGAGCAGTTGATGTGGACGGCTCCCTGGATGTGGCTCCTGTTGTACTCCATGAAGGGGCGACAGTCTATGATCACAGGTCCCTGGCTCTGGAACTGGAGGGCGCCCTTGCTGTTGCATTTGGTCAGCTTCTTGGCCAGTTCGGTGGGGTAGATGGTGCGGATCGGCTTGGCGGCCGTGTTGGTGGAGGGATGGTGGTGTTGGTGGTGGTGGTGAAGAGCAGGAGGAGGAGGAGGAAACGGAGGAGACGACGAAGGGTGAACTCCAAGTCCCGCGGCGGAGGCAGAAGCAGCAGAAGAAGAGGGGTTCAGCAGAGTGCTGGCGGTCTCCTTGCCGCCTCCGCCACCCCCACTGTTGTTGTTGCCGCTGCTGCTGGTGCTGGTGCTGCTGGTGCTGCTGCTGGTGACCATCTGGTGGCCGCTGGCGCAGGTCGTGCAGTTGGTTGGGGTCCCGATTTTGCCAGCAGCAGAGGCTGGGGGGACTTGGTGATGGAGGTGGTGGTGGTGGGGGGGGTGGCCACCACCGGCTCCGGCTAGTGAGGCTGGGCTTTGGTCGCCACCACTGTGATGGTGATGGTGTGGCTGCTGGTGCTGCTGCTGCTGCGGCTGCTGGTGGTGGTGTTGTGGCTGTTGGTGTTGATGGTGTTGGCCAATGCCCTTGTTCTCGTAGGTGGTCACCGTGCAGCAACTGGCGCTGCTGCAGCCGCAGGACAAGGAGCGCACCGAGCCGTTGGACGATGGCATATACGTGATGTGGCCGCTTCTGAGGGAGACCACAGCCAGAGTCGCAGCAGCAGCAGCAGCAGAAGAAGAAGAAGGAGCAGAAGAAGGAGCAGAAGAAGAAGGTGGGGGGGAGGAGGAGGAGGAGGAGGTCGGGGATGATGCTGCTGCTGCTGATGATGATGATGGGCTGAGGGTCGCACCTGGAGCTGATGATGGGTCCTCAGTAGCTGGGGAGCGGTGGGGGTGGGGGTGGGGGTGGGGGCTGCTGCTGCTGCTGCTGTTGTTATTGTTGGTGCTGGTGTTGTTGATGTCGGTGTTGATGGAGACACTGGGGACCGTGTGGCTGCTGCTGGAGGTGATGTCCAGACGGAGATGGAGTTCCTGGGGTCTGACCGGTCTGGGCAGCGCCACCACTCCACCGACAACTCGTTCGTCCAAAGGAGAAGGAGGCATCGGGATGGCGGTCGGGGCTGCGCGGCTGTGGCTGTGGTTCCTGTCGCTGTCGATCCGAGGAGTGAACGGGACTGAAACGGGATCAAACGTCGCTGTCAGCATCAGAGCAGGAGGGGGGGGGGGCAGGGGGGGGGGAGGGGGGGGGGGGGGGGCAGGGGGGAGGGGGGGAGGGGGGGAGGGGGGGGGGGCAGGGGGGGGGGAGGAGGGGAGGGGAGGAGGGGAGGGGGCAGGGGGGGGGGCAGGGGGGGGGGGGGCAGGCAGGAGGGGGGGGGAGGAGGGAAGAGGAGGGGGGAGAGGAGGGGGGAGGGGGGGCAGGGGAGGGGGGGAGAGGAGGGGAGGGGGGGGGGAGAGGAGGGGGGCAGGGGAGGGGGGGAGAGGAGGGAGGGGAGGGGGGGCAGGGGAGAGGAGGGGAGGGGGAGAGGAGGGGGCAGGAGGGGGGGGAGAGGAGGGAGGGGGGCGGGGGGAGGAGGGGGGGAGAGGGGGGGGGAGGGGGGCAGGGGAGGGGGAGAGGAGGGGAGGGGGAGAGGAGAGGAGGGGGGGCAGGAGGGGGGGGGGAGAGGAGGGGGGGGGAGGAGGGGGGGTTGAAGGGTGTGGGGGGAAAGGGGAGGGGAAAAAAAAGGGGGGGAGGGAGAAAGGATGGGTGGAAAGAGAGGGAGAGAGAGGGATGGTGGTGGTGGTGGAAAGGGGGGAGAGGAGGAGAGGAGAGGAGGAGAGGGTGGGGGGGAGGGGTGGGGGGGAGAGGAAGAGGGAGGGAGGGAGAGGGAGAGGAGGGGAAAGGTAAGAGAAAATGCAATTGTTATTTAAAATAAAAGGACGATGCGCTGATTTCTGCTGCAGAACACAGGCGGAGAGGGGGGGATGGAGAGGGGGGGATGGAGAGGGGGGGGTGGGGGGGGGATGGAGAGGGGGGGGGGGGGCGGATATCTCCACTAAAAATAAAATAGAATAAAAGGAAACAAAAGAAAAAGAAATAGAAATAAA